ACCACCACCACCACCACAACCACCACCACCACCACTAGCACCACCACCACCACAACCACCACCACCACCACTAGCACCACAACCACCACCATCACAACCACCACCACCACCACAACCACCACCACCACCACTAGCACCACCACCACCACAGCATCCAGAGGGGCCTTGATGCACATCCTCCTCTGCGCTTTCGTGATCCGCCGACCCTGCCCGCCCCCCCCAACACCGCCACTGCCACCCCGCCGGCGATGGATCACAAAACGTGCCGTTAGTCTCCGACCCGGCGGGAAATTAACGAATAAATCTCAGTGAAATTCCTCCCGCCCCGCAGCGGTGCCCCGCCGCCCGGGGTGGTGACGTGGATCGCGCGGTTCGAATCTGGCGGGCCGCGCTGGTTAACAACGCCGGGTGGATGCCGACCGGACGGTGAGCGCCTTCTGATTCACGGTGGACGTTCAAGATGCCGTGATGTCACCCGAAGGAAGCGTGTTGGGCGGGGGGGGGGGGGGCGGCGTCGTGGTCCACATTTTTGCCAAATTTGAGAATTGACTCGCGAATTACTTGAATGGGGGAAAAAAAATTCGTAGAGAAAATATTTGGCAGGATCCTGTCGAAACAAAAGTTTGGAGACCTCGACAACAACAATCACCGTGGGATTATAACAATCACTGACAGCCCCTTGTCAACCCACTGCTGGACGAAGCCCTTCTCAAGCTGTGTAGGTCACAGGCGCTGCTTGGCCATACTTCACCACGTGGGTCAGTGCGGGTTGGTGAAGGGGGCGTGGCCAGGTTGTGGCGTGGCGCGCCGATCACAGCGCCACCGCTCCAACCGTGTTTTGAGTTTAGGCGACTGGCTATATTATACAGCAAGTTGTATGTAGAAATGTATTAGTCTATATATATATACACGTTCATATGTTTTCCCCAATCCCATGAGTCACTCGCGCTTATGTTTATTTATCAATTCTCTTCCGTGCGCGTGCACACGCCGGCAGAACGGCATCTGATGAACTTCACCGTGAGCTGGCTGCATTGTTTGAGTGCCGTTGCATCGCTGCATTTGTCGACATTTTTGTCGCGAAAAATTTCGAATAAAAATTTCCTTCGAGCCAAACGTTTGCACGATGGATTAAAGTCACCCTCTTCATCCCGGGGACCCTCTTTTACGTTTATTGATAATAAAACACAAAAGCTGAACTTTGAACGTTTCATTTGATGTCTGTGTGCGGCACCGTCCTGTTGGGCTCGCCGCAACTCGGCTGCAACGTCGATTTACTTCGCCTCCACGAGCACCCACGCTGCGTGCGCCGTCTCTCTCTCTCCGTCTCTCTCTCCGTCCGTCTACACAATTTGCGTGCGTCTTGGCAACTCTCCACTGTGTCTTGGTGTGCGTGTGTGCGCTAGTATGTTGTCGTGTGCCATGCCGGCCTTCATAGGTGCTCGCTAACAGCACTTGCCCCAACAGTCTGTTCAGGCTATCCGGGGGATCTTTGTCTGTATATTGTCTGTCTCTCCGTCTTTCAGGTTGTCTCGCTCTCTGTACAGATGTCCACCCTCGTCTGCTTGTGCAGCTCAACCTCCGATGAGCACGGTTGTTTATGTACAGTGCGAAATAAGTTGAACGTACATAAATGGTACCACAGTTAGTGAGCACCTATGAAGGCCGGCACGATACTCGAGGGGGTGGGTGGCCAACACCACGCCCGGCCGCCTTTGTCTCCCTCGTGGCGATGTTTACTACACACTGCACCAGATACTCATCTGAGGCTGAGTCGACCTAGGGGAGGCCGAGGACCGGTTCAGATAATCGTTACTGGGTGTTGGCCGTGAGCAAGAATCGAACCCGTGTCACCAGGTTCATAGCGCAGCGTAGCGCTAACCGCTACACCACCGCTCCCCACAGACGCACACACACAGGCACAGATGCACACACAGGCACAGACGCACACACACACACACACCCCAGGTTCGACTCTTTGAGCCATCAGGCCACACAAACACACCCGCCCCTCTTAACCAAAGCGACATCAACAACGGGCGGAACGCCGGCCCGCGCTCGCACGGCGATAACCCCGGGACCTCTCGCTGCCCCCCCCCCCCCCCCCGGCGCACGTGTCACCAAGCGAGCCCTGCATCGCAACACCCACGGACGGTGCCAACTCGCGACGCTTTGGCCATTTCGTTTTTTCCCGTTGGGCTGGGGTGGGGGTGAGCGGCGGTGTCGTTTGCCCTCAATTTAGGGGAGCGAAATTGAGCGATGCGTCCTGATGGTGATTTGAGATGGGGAGGGGGTGGGGGGCCCCACCACGCGCCCCCACCGTCCCCTGGCCCCCCAGCACAGCGCCCATCGCCACTGCGAGACGGCGCTTTTATTTGGTGCATTCTGGGGCGCGGGCTGCGGGCCACCCGAATCAGCGCCGCCGCCGCTTCACGCAAACTGGAACTGAAAGGCGCAGAGAGGAAAAAAGAAAGACCTCACTGTGTGACCGGTGATTAGAATATTTTAACCTTCACGTCTTTTTCACCGCTCAGGCATTAACACCTCGAGACGCCGTTACCCCCGCACCACCACCACGCTCCCAGGGCCCTGGCCCCACTGGCAAGTGGCTTAGCACGATCGCCGTGCACAGCACGCGCCAAGGAGAGATGGAGCGCGGTAATATTGTTGCGCAGGAATGTCCTTGAGAGCTCAATGGCGCGTGGAGTCGGCGTTCTTCAATGAGTCTCCACCCACTAACACCCCCCCCCACCTCTCCATCAACTCCCCCCCCCCTCCCTCTTCTCTCTCCTCCTCCTCCTCGCAGCACCTTTGTCACGTCCGTCTCGTTCTCTCGTCACCATGCCTCCGCCCGCCCCTCGCCACTCGCTCTGCCGTTCGCTCTCGATCCTTCATCTCCTTTCATCTTCTCGCTCGGTCGCTCCGCCGCTCCCCTCGGGGATCATTCCCTCCCCGCCGCCTCTCGCCCCTCTCCCGCACCGCGTCGTTATCTCCGGCACGCGGCGCTCAGGTGAATGGCCAAACGCAAACGGAATTCCGTTGCAGGAAGGAACCGAAAAACACAACAACCGCCCCCTTCCTTCGCCACCCCCGTATCCCGTGAAGCCCAAGGTCTTGTCACAGTTCAACATTGACCCCCGACCTCTACCGCGCGAAGCCATTTTCTGCGGCTTTCTCCTCCGCCCCCCCGCAGCCCGAACGTCGAGAGCCGGAACGCGGAGCTCGACAGCCCCCCCCCCGCTCCAACTCCTCCTCCTCCTCCCTCGCGTCCTAAACGCGACGGTGGCGGTGGTGCCGCAGCCAACGGCGCCACGGGCCGCTCCGCGACGGTGAGCACGGAGCGCTCGCGCGATCGCGGCGTGAACCGACGTCACCGCGCCATCGCCGATGGCACGGGAGGACCGCGGGAGGTCAAGCGGCCGTTCGTGACGTCGACCGTCAAGAGGGACGAGCGGCTTCGGCCGCGACGATCGCGTCGTTGTACGCGCGCCGGACTTCTTTCGCGCCGTACGTTGGTCGGCCGTGCTAATTGGCGGTCGCTAGGGGGGATGGCGGAGGGTGGTTGAGACTGGCGAGGCAATGGCTCTGAGGACCTCCACCTCGGAGATGGAGCAGTGAGATCAGTTCGTGTGCAGGAGCGCGATATGGTCGTTGCATGGCAACAGGGTGTCCATCCAGCAGCAGTGGACAGATCATGGCTGATGTTGATGATGATGATGACGATGCCGATGATGTCAGTTGGTCAAAAATTAAGTTCTAATAAGCACGAGGAAGAAGTCATCTCCGTCAGCCACAAGCTGTGAAATTTCCACGTTCCCATGGCGGGAACCAGTCTGTCCATAACAGCAAATGCTGATGACCCACCCATTTGTGCGATTTGTAGCGACCCAGCGTGATGCCCCATAAAGTCAAACTCCTGTCCAGGATTTTAGCTGAGATCAGAATTCGTGCATAAGTATACGATTTATCTTGATTACTTTATACGGGAGAGGTTGGAGAGAGAAAGAGAGAGAGCGCTTCTGGTAGCCTCCATCCAGCAGTGGATTTTGCGATGATGATGATGATGATGATCCGTGATTGTCGACCACAGCCAGGGCACGATGAGTTTCGTACGAGACAGATTATTTGGGGATGCCACCGCCGCTGTTGCCGTCGCTGCTGCGTTGGGCAGTGGCCCACGAGCACAAAAAACAGCGACCACGGGCGTCAACGGCAACGCCGTGGCCTTCAAAGGAAAACAAATATAAATGTAAACATACACACGCAACTTTGCTTGTTCTATGGTGAGTTTCCTTTTAAAAGCGGCGGCGTTAACGATAACGACGATCTGTTTCGAGAGAGAGGTCAGAGAAGTGAGAGATGAGAGAGAGAGGTCAGGGAGAGGTCAGAGAGAGGTCAGAGAGAGGTCAGAGATAAGTCAGAGATAGGTCAATGAGAGGTCACGGAGAGGTCAAGGAGAGGTCACGGAGGGGTCAGAGAGAGGTCAGAGTGAGGTCAGAGTGAGGTCAGGGAGAGGTCAGGGAGAGGTCACAGAGAGGTCAGAGAGAGGTCAGAGAGGTGTGAGAGAGGTCAGAGAGGTGTGAGAGAGGTCAGGGAGAGGTCAGGGAGAGGTCAGAGATAGGTCAGGGAGAGGTCAGGGAGAGGTCAGAGAGAGGTGTGAGAGAGGTCAGAGAGAGGTCACAGAGAGGTCAGAGAGAGGTCAGAGAGAGGTCAGAGAGAGGTCACAGAGAGGTCATAGATAGGTCAGAGAGGTGTGAGAGAGGTCAGAGAGAGGTCAGGGAGAGGTCAGAGTGAGGTCAGAGAGAGGTCAGAGAGAGGTCACAGAGAGGTCAGAGATAGGTCAGAGAGGTGTGAGATAGGTCAGAAAGAGGTCAGAGAGAGGTCAGAGTGAGGTCAGAGTGAGGTCAGTGAGAGGTCAGAGAGAGGTCAGGGAGAGGTCACGGAGAGGTCAGAGTGAGGTGAGAGAGAGAGAGGGGCGGTGCGTGCTCGCTGCTGCTGACCTTGGCGATGCGAGCGGCCGTGTCGCGGGCCAGGGCCAGGCCCTGCGTGAAGGCGCGTGCCGCCACCAGGGCGCGCGTCAGCTGGGGCCGCAACTTGCGGGGGACGTCGCCGAAGGGACGCAGCTCGTCCGAGTTCTTGCTCACGCACTCGAGGTACGACTCGGAGAGCTCGTAGTGCGGGTGCAGCAGCGCGAATATCCGCTCGAGCAGGCGCGACCAGAACTCGGTGAGCGACTCCTGCGGGACGAGCCACGCCGCGTCACCGCCGCGTCACCGCCACCGTCGTCGTCGTCGTTGTCATCGTCATCAGTCATTAACACCATCGTAAGAAGCATCATCGTACTCGTCATTAGCATCATAAGCAACATCATTGTTTTCAGTCATTATTACCATCATTTGTATTATCATCATCATTATCAGCGACGCTGTGGGACTTGTGGATCGCAGGGGCGATGGAGACGCAGTGTGCACCACACGGCCATCCACATGGGCAGACGGGTGTCTTTGTCGAGCAAAGGAGGATACTTGTCCCGTCTTGTACGGCGTTTGAGTGTCACTGCTGAATTGTCCGCGAGCTCTCTCCCGGATGTGGGAATTCCTCCCACGGGCGTGAACGAGCGCTCCTAGAAAACGGTCCCAAACGCCCCAAAACGTCTGGAGCCGTCTTCAAAATCAGCCCTGGGACTCGCTGGAGCTCTCACCAAGCTCAACAAAGATTGCCATTGAGCCACAGCACCGCAGCAGCGGCAGCAGTGGTGGCCACCACGCTAGCCGCCACTCGCCCACGGCCGGTAAGTAAAACCGTAACAGTGCTCCCCTTTGTGAACGAGCTCAACGTAGATCGATAGATATAACTGCGAGCATTTAGGTAATACGTAAAAAAAAGAGAGATGGTTCTTTGTCTTTTGGAGCACAGGGCCAAGTTTTCTCACTGGAGGTTTCTCTTCCCCCGCAGGGCTTTGAGCGCAGAGATAAGATCACAATTAGGGTGCGCATGAGCGGCATTAATATTGCAACGCCACCAAGTCTCCATTGCAGTCTGATTTTGTGCCTTATTATCAGATGTTCAAAGCCAGCACGGCGCTTATTACTATTATTAGAATGCGGAATATTTTCTTTTCAAATACCAAAAATGTATTATTAAAAAAAAAATCCGTTGCCAAAAAAAACGACGATTATCGTTTATTTTTTTTGTTTAATTTTTTTCCACTTTGTATGTCCACCCAGATTCCTTATACTTTTGCCATCGGCGGTGCGTCGTTTTGGAGAAAGAGACCAGGAAGGCCCCATTCAGAACCGACGCACATCAGGGGACCACGCCACGTTCGGAAATTTGGCGCGGAAATTTGGCGCGCCAAGGGGCGCTGCACTTTCCCATTCGTTCTGCCGCAGAGATGTCTGTCGGGGGACAGTCAAGCCGATTGTTTTCTTCGCCAAAGTTAACCAATGTATGGGGAAAAAGACAAATATAATATCGTGGTTTTATTTGTGCATTGAAACGTGACAGGGTTGAATCCATCGGCTAGCTCTATTCGAGAACCTGGGTCCCAAAGACGCGCGGCTGAAACCCCAGGCTTGAAGCCAGCCTCTCAAGCGGTGACGGGTTCTGTGTCTCTGACCCCTCGGCCCAACCCTAGCTGCCACTGCGATTTCAGTGGCCTGAAATCAAATGTATCGCTCCGGATGACCGCCGCAAAGTATGATCTTGAGTTTTGATTATAGTGTGCGGATGTTTAAAGGTGCATTGAATTTTTTTATACTCCTACTGATGCTCCTGCTGTTATGGAGTGACTCATGCTGCCAGTTATGGCTGCAAAGTTTGGTGGTACATGTTATGTATATCGTTTATTGTTAAATTAGAATCACAGTTCCTATGATCACTGTTACATTGTTTTTATAGCGTTATTTTGGTGATTTCGAAAACGTTTTGGTTTAGCCATGTTTGTTTGTTGTAGTACAGAGTTAGACTGATCTAAATTGTCTTATGGTTGTTATTGTTTGACTTGCATCCCACTGGGATTTTTGCACTCAGCGTTGATGTGGGGTGTTTTTTCTGGAAGACTTTGCTGTTTTTTCTTGGATTTTTCTGCTGCGCGTAGCCACTTTAAGATGTTCCTTGTTCATGTTTTTGTTGTTTGTTGCGGTTGCACCCGAGTCCAGAGCCGCATGGCTCACAGGGTGACACCATATAAATGAACTGAACTGAACCTCCTGACCCACAATCGAAAGGGTGCGAGTTTAAATTGGGGTTAGAGGGACAACTCTCAGTCCACCACCGACCGTGGCGCTCATAAAGCCAGCACCAAATCATGGGGGAGCGAACAGAAGTTGTCCCGTGGATCATGGAGTTCATCGTTCTGCACGCCGTGTTAGTCAAAACTTGCAGAACACGCACAGAGGCCCATGGGTTTTTTTTCAAGCCTCCAAAGCAAAAAGGCAAGATGCGGAGATAACGCCATCGTGCGATGTCCCACTGCGTGTTGCCGAGTCAACAAAGCAGGGGCACGGTGACCAAAACCAGGGCCATCACGAGATTCCTTCCCTCCGCCACCCCCCACTCGCCGTCACAGCGCACGCCACATCCCGCGCGCAGGGGACAGACCATCTGACCCCTGTCAGACGAACGTGGAATGTGCACCAGTGCTGTAGCGTGGGGGCTGAAGGGGTGGTTAACACCCCCCCCCCCCCACGCTGTCTTCTTATCGTCAAGTCAAAACATGTCGGCGCAGCTGTCCGTACGGCACAATAAACAAACGAGGCGATCGCATCGTCATTCATTCCGTTCGGCGCTCAACATTTGTTTAAAGTTGGTTTAACATTGACCGTGCCCCTCCCCCCACCACCCCAACGCTGAGTGTTTGGACGCCCCCCCAGTTCACCCTGCGGGGGTGCAGTGTACTGCCGCATTGAACCACTGTCGCACTATTTGCGGTGGCGAGGAATGAGGAATGAAATGTGGGGGGGGGGGGGGGGGGTCTCGTCTCTGGTAACTATGAACAGCACCACCAAATCGTGAGGTGTCAAGGGGCGGGGGGGGGAGGTGACCACCACCACCCTCGCCACCTTGGGCTCGCCACCAGGTAGGTGAGTGAGTGCCTGTTAATGCGGGGGGGGGGGGGGACAAGGTGGAGGAGCGGTGAGCGCTGCGCTACGAACCCAACGACCTGAGTTCGATTCGCGCTCACGTCCAACACCGTTGACGATAATCTGAATCGGTCCTGGGCCTCCCCTAGGTCGACTCGGCCTCAAAGGAGTACCTGGTGCGGTGTGTAAAAACATTATCTCTGGGGAGACAAAGGAGGCCGGGAGTGGTGTTGGCCACCCACCTCATCGTGTGCCGTGCCGGCCTTCATCGATGCTACTCGCTAACAGCACTTGCCCCAAAAGTCTGTTAAGGCTGTACAGGGGATCTTTGTCTTTGGGGCGGGGGTGGGGGTCGCTGGCGAGCGGGGGTCCACACCTGCAGGTTGGCGCCGGCGCCCTCGTAGTAGCGCCGCAGGTCCTTGAAGAGGTCGGAGAAGAGGTGCAGGTGCTTGACGTAGAGGATGCCGTACGTGCGGGAGAACATGGAGTGCAGCGAGCGCTCAGAGTTCTCCAGCAGCTCCTTGAAAAACTCTGCACGCACACAAAGACGAAGATCCCCCGTGGAGCCTCAACAGAATGTAGGGGCAAGTGCTGTTAGCGAGCAGCACCTGTGAAGGCCGGCATGGCACACGAGGGGGTGGGTGGCCAACACCACGCCCGGCCGCCTTTGTCTCCCCAGTGGCGATGTTTTTACACACCGCACCAGGTACTCATTTGATGCCGAGTCGACCTAAGGGAGGCCCAGGACCGGTTCAGGTAATCGTCACCTGCGTTGGCCGCGAGCGGGAATCGAACTCGGGCCGCCGGGTTCATAGCGCGGCGTGGCGCTAACCGCTGCGCCACCGCTCCCCACGCGGGCGCTGTCGCGCCCTGCACAGCTGCGTTAACATCGCGACCGCGAGCAGCCGCACGGAGTTCGCGAGAAGTCACAAACAAACACGTCCCCGTGAAGGAGCAGATGACCCGGAAGGATCCGCTGGCTTTGATCTTCCGCCCCGGAGCTTACGGGGCCCCCCACTCGTAAACCCGCGTTCCGCACACAAACCATGGCAGCGGCAGCAGCGGAAGCAGCGGCAGCAGCAGATGCGGATATTTGACGCACAAATGAAAAAAAAACACTCTCCGGCAGGGTTTGACCGCGGTCACCCAGAACAGAGCCACGGCACAGATGAAGGCTCAAGGGCCGATTCACAAAACACGAAGGAGGAGGAGGTGGTGGTGGTGGTGTCATCACGGCAGCGATGATTCACCGCCGCTGCTGACGCAATCGTCTGGCTCAACCCACCTGAGCGTAAAATCACAATCGCTGCTTCACAGCAGCGTCGGCCGTGCGACGAAGACGAAGCGAGAAGAAGACGAAAAACATCGTCGCGTCCGGTGGGGCGGTCGAGGCGACGGTGCGGTTCGTACGGCGGATCGGTGGCCAGCACGGCCTGAGGGCTGCTTGCCCCCCCCCCCCCCCCGCCTCTTAGGTGGCACCTTGGGGCAGCACTTTCATCTGCGTCACCGCTTTTCCACAGCGTCGGTCCTCGATAGCGCCAGAGCTTGAGGTGAAAATTGCCTTTCGTATTGGATCGTCTCTATTGTCGTGACCCCCCCATTACAGACGGGAAGAATAAATAAGCAGCGTGACCAGGTAATTGGAGCAATGATGTCATGAACCATCCTAAGGAGGAGCCTCACCGAGTGTCAGCACTGCATTGGGGTGCTTGGCAAACAAGTGTTCCAAGAAGTATGTTGCATGTGGGAGTAAGCCAGAGTTACAGAGGAAGCCCCACAGACCCAAGGGGGCAACACTGAGAGGCTCACACGGGCGACTTCGCAACCCACTTGCTGTTCTTTGGGTCTTTCGGTCGAGTCACGGAGACACCTCGCAGGTCAGTCGGGTCGGGAGGTCGACTCATTTTGGGCCCAATGCACCAGGCCGTGCCTCTACAGTGTTGGATCACAGCGTGAATCGCCACGACCACCACCACCACAGCACGGCCACCATGACCACCACGGCACGGCCACCACGGCCACCACGACCACCGCCACAACAATCACCGCCACCACCACCGCCACCACGGCCACCACCACCACCACCACAGCACGGCCACCATGACCACCACGGCACGGCCACCACGGCCACCACCGCCACCACGGCCACCACGACCACCACCGCCACCACGGCCACCACCACCACCACCACAGCACGGCCACCATGACCACCACGGCACGGCCACCACGGCCACCACGACCACCGCCACAACAATCACCGCCACCACCACGACCACCACGGCCACCACGGCCACCACGGCAACCACGGCCACCACGACCACCGCCACAACAATCACCGCCACCACCACGACCACTACTGCCACCACGGCCACCACGGCTGCCACGACCGGCGTTATTCACAACACTGAGGGCGTGGGGAACTTCATAAGTCAGAGGGAGATGCCCTGTATTTTTTGTTGTAATACTTTCCAACTAAAATCGAAATCCTCAATGCACGAGCTCTGTCCGTCTGTCTGTCCATCTGCCTGAATGTAATCTGAGGTCACGGTAACTCGCGGAGTGGTGACCCAATACAACACAATACAATACAATGCAACACAATACAACACAACACAATACAACACAATACAATGCAACACAATACAACACAATACAATGCAACACAACACAATGCGAACGCGAGTAGAACGTTGCGTTGCTATCAGGGCTGCACCCTGGAGCAAACGGACCGCACTGATCAACAAATTGGCGACAAAAACAAAAATCCAGAGCCTCACAGATGAACTTTCAGGGTCACGTGAGCACCGTCGCTAATGACATGCTCGCAGGGACACAAACAAACAACCCGCACGCCGCAAAGTCTCACAGAATCCCTTCGTGCGCGCGAACAGCCGACGGCTTTGTACAGCTACGAGCGCATTTACATGCACGCAGGCACCCAGGTAGGCCATGCACGCAGGCACCCAGGCAGGCCACGCAGGCAGGCACCCAGGCACCCAGGCAGCCAGGCAGGCCACGCAGGCAGCCACCCAGGCAGGCCACGCAGGCGTACGGACGCACCAAGCCTGTGAATGATTAAAGCTCAAAAACGGCGCGAAGCAATTCGCCGCCGTGTTTGTCCTCATTGCCGTGAACAGCGAAGCCGCCAGTTTGTAAACACGGGGGGGGGGAGGCACGCGGCTCGCTGGCTCTCTGTTGACACCTTCGCGTTTTGTACTTTTGAGACATTTCGGCAGAGCGCAGCGCCACATTTCGCGTCCACGTGGCCACACGGGAGAGACGTAGCGGCTCGAGACGGCCGCGTGTCGTGGGGGGGGGGGGGGGGGGGCGTGGGGGGGGGGGCCTGTGTCAAGGTGGCACGCTCGCCATCTGTTCACTCCGTGGAGACGGACAGAGGTGGAGAGAGCGACGGTCGTGGGTAGGGGCGCGGAGGGAGTCTGGACTCGAGCAGAGCTGGGGATTGGTGAACGTAGCAGCGGATGATGTGCCAAGAGGGGGGGGGGTGCCTCTGTGTGGAGCCGACACTGACAACCGTTGTGACACTAAATCAGGGATGGCGATCTTGGTACAAATCTGGTCGACTGAACAGAATTCAGATTCATTATTCATGAATCATCGCAGGACAACAATCACCCATCGTCACTGTCACCTCCCTGTCTCTCTACTACTGCTGCTGCCATTGCTGCAGCCACTCTCCCATCGTCACTGTCATCTCCCTGTCTCTCTACTGCTGCTGCTATCATTGCTGGGGCCACTCTCCCATCGTCACTGCCACCCCCTGTCTCTCTACTACTGCTGCTACCACTGTTGCAGCCACTCTCCCATCGTCACTGTCATCTCCCTGTCTCTCTACTGCTGCTGCTATCATTGCTGCAGCCACTCTCCCATCGTCACTGTCATCTCTCTGTCTCTCTACTGCTGCTGCTATCATTGCTGCAGCCACTCTCCCATCGTCACTGTCATCTCTCTGTCTCTCTACTGCTGCTGCTATCATTGCTGGGGCCACTCTCCCATCGTCATTGTCATCTCTCTGTCTCTCTACTGCTGCTGCTATCATTGCTGCAGCCACTCTCCCATCGTCACTGTCATCTCCCTGTCTCTCTACTGCTGCTGCTATCATTGCTGGGGCCACTCTCCCATCGTCATTGTCATCTCTCTGTCTCTCTACTACTACTGCTGCTATCATTGCTGCAGCCACTCTCCCATCGTCACTGTCATCTCCCTGTCTCTCTACTACTGCTGCTGCTATCATTGCTGCAGCCACTCTCCCATCGTCACTGTCATCTCCCTGTCTCTCTACTACTGCTGCTGCTATCATTGCTGCAGCCACTCTCCCATCGTCACTGTAATCACCCTGTCTCTCTACTACTACTGCTGCTATCATTGCTGCAGCCACTCTCCCATCGTCACTGTCATCTCCCTGTCTCTCTACTACTGCTGCTGCTATCATTGCTGGGGCCACTCTCCCGTCGCTCTGCACTGCAGGATGCGGCATTTCTCCCGGCTATGCTCCCCTCCCTCGCTCCCTGACATCACGCAGCCCGAGTGATCCCGTCACCTCTCACCTACATTCCCCACTCGTCGAACTAGGCGGCTGCCACTCTCCGCTCCGCTTAGCAACAGTGATTTTTTTTTGAAGACGGCAAGATTGGTATCGGGAGGACGATGTGGAATTAATACCTTTCGCGATGAGGCTCGGAGACTCGTCTCCACCCTGCCAGTTTGCCCTTCAAATGTTGGTATGATGCGCTTTATTTTGCCCTCCAAATTTAGGTATAATGTCCTTCATTTTGCCCTTACATTTTTGGTGCGATGCCCTCTATTTTGACGCGTGGGTCCCCTCCCCCTCGCAGGTGATGTTTGCGTTGGGCCACGTCGTTACGGTCCGGCCGAACTTCTGTCGCAGGACCCCTCCACCACCCGACACGGCCAAACAAACCACGCTGTCACGTGGGCAAGGGGTTCAAGGTGCCAGCTGTGAATGTTACCCCCCCCTCCCCGCCCCCCAAGTTGCGTTGTGGTTCTCTGTATCGTGGGACAATTCTCACACGAGGATTGATTTTACGACACTTCGCCTCGCTGGCCAGTTGCGGGTTGGTGAAGGGGGCGAGGGTGGCGGCACGACCGGTCCGATGTCGGCCCTGGCTGGGAATCGAACTCGGATCGCAGGACCACGCGGTAAGGCGACAGAAACCAAACTGAGCCTTGAATAATGAAACCTCCGCAAGTGGAATTGTACGTGCTCAGGGCGTGCAGTGACGATGACAAGGCAGTGCCCCAATCACTCCTACACCACCACTCAACCCACTACTTTAATTTGCCAGATAAAAACACGCAATTATAACATTTAGTGCTTGCGCAAGGGCGATGTTGGTAGCAGGATTAAATGTAATCAAATGCATTTCAGAAATTGAACTTTCATGTGGTAATCGTGGTCTCCGATGTCATGTGTCCCCACCAAGGCTGTAATTATAATATAAATTGGGGGGGGGGCAGACACATCCCCCCCAATATTCAAATATGCTCAAAAT